GCTTCAGAGCTCTGTTCGGTATCAGACCCATCTAAACCCACGGCTAGGGGGCTCATTCAGTCAAGTCGAAACAGCGGTCCAACATCTTTCTCGACTCCGAACTCCAACGAAAGTCGTTGAGCGTGCAGTGGTGCTGCCTCGAAGCTTCCAAGCGCAGTCTCCACGCGGCTCCCAGGCCGCTAGCTCCAAGATGCGGCGCAGCAATGAGGCCAATCTCAAACTTGAGCTCAGCAAAATCCTTGGTCGCGTCCTTGGCCACAACGTACACTCGCTTATTGGCCCTCAGCCCTGCCTGCCTGCCTGCTTTGGCCGCCTGAGGTCTACAGATCTCGCGCATGAGCTGTTCGCTCTCTCTTTGCCGTTTTCGCTCTCCCCATCTTGCGAGCCAAAAATCAGGCAAGCCGCGACGGCGGCTTATGCAAAAAGTCATCTCAGAAAAAAGTCCTGCCCCCGTCGCACAGAAACACTCGGCGGGCTCCCGCGTTTGTACTTTATTTCATTGTCCCATGCATGACCCAGCAGACAGAGGGCACGCCTGCCTGCCTGCGTGGGCACGTCACATGGCACGTCGGGGAAAAGCATTGCAGAGGACAAACAAGCATCGTGTACCATACACATTCCCTCGGGTCCCAGCATCTCCAACGATTTTGCAAGCCAAGCCAAGCCAAGCCCAGCAGCAACGGCAAAGCGAAAGCCGACGTCGCTCTGTCATTTTGTCAGTGCATGGCATTGCGAGCAGGCAAAAGATTGCGCGCCCGGGCGTAGAGGTACAAGTTTGTGCTGATCAGGGAAATACAGGCGTTGAGATCATCTGAAGATCAGACCGGGTAGCAGAGGAATAGAAGGCGAGGGAAGCAGCTCGAGGGGTGTGTGTGAGAGAGAGATATCTCTCGAGATGGTCCGACCTGGGAGAGCCAAAGGGGGAAAAGACGTTACCGACCCGAGTGATTTCGACAAAAGTAGGAAGGTGGGTGGGGGGAGAGGGTGGGTATACGTTTCGTGACGAGGAGCGTCTACGGGATTTGGACCGGCCCAAACAAGGAACAAGCAGGAAACGGGATAGCAGCAAATGCGGCATGGTGATCTGTCCACTCATCGATCCAGATAGCCGCCAAATTTGCCTGCACCCGCTGCAGAGGGTCTGAGTGCTCGGCTGCGATTCATGATGCTGGCAAAGGAGGCACCGTTCGAACGGGTAGGTCGTGTCAGTACAAGTCGCATTGTCCGTTTTGAATGCTGGAGGACTCTGGACTCACCTGATGCCTTTGAGGACAGCGGCCTCATTCGCAGCTTGCAAGCGACGTTGTTCTGCGCAATTGCAGCCGCACGCGGAGCAAGGTGGTACGGAAGAGGGGCTAGAAGCGCTAGCGGCAAAGTTGTGAGAGTCGGAGGGAGAAGCGCGAGGCGCAGCGTGTCCAGCTGCAGCTCGAAGAGCAGAGAGTTCGGTCGCCAAATCGTTCATGGTCTGCTCAATCTCTATGGCCCTCTTGCGCGAGGCCAAGAGAGCCGGATTGAGAGCCAACCCGGCAGCATCCGCATCGCTCGTCGGTGTAGGTGGGAAGCCGTTGACCAGACCCAGCGCAGAGGAAGCGTCGGAAGAAGCGCTCGCGTCCGAGTAAGGTCGAGCAAGAGCTCCGGGAACAGATCCGTGGCGCGCGATGGGTCGATGCAGACCCGTCGGCGCACTACCAGTGCTGCCGCTAGATCTGCCCGGGTGCATCGGCAAAGAGGATTTGAGCTGATGAGGGCTCGTAGAAGGCGACACGAACGTCTCTTCTTCATCACCATGACTGTTGGCAGACTGATACGTGGGCGAGCTCAAATCCGTCGCTTTGGAGAGACCAGACATTGGAGCCGCATCGCGAGGGCTGTTGGAGCTCGTCTTGATGGCAGCTGGAATAGCGCCCTTTCGCGAAGCTGGTGAGGAAGATGCGGCTGGTGATGTGAGGCCCACGTCGGCCGGGCTTGGCGATCGACTGCTGAGAGAGGCGCCGAACGATTTGTAGCTCAGCGCTGGGGAGAGTAGCTTCTGAGCGTCGCTGGGAGCTTGAAGAGCACCAGAAATAGAGGTGGTGGTTGCAACTGGAGCGGACGTCTTTGTCGCATTCGCCGTGGTCATGCCTCCATTACTGGCCTGGTTATCCTCCATATCTAGCATGCCTCCCAACCCCGAGAACATGGAGCTCACAGGTCGCAGAGACAAGGCGGGTGCTTCTGCCGATGGAGAGTGATCTTCACCCGTGCTCGCGCCAGCTCCATTGACTTGCAGCGAAGGCATAGAAGCGCCCGCGTTGAGCTTGCCGCTGCTGTCCAGACTACCAGCCGATGGTCTGCTAGCCATCGATCCCGCTCCGCCTTCAGTCCCATCTCCCTCTCCTCCCTTGTCCTTGAAACGTCGCAAGAAACCACCGCCACTCTTCTTGTTGCGCAGAGCCGGAGTCAGATCCGTGCGCGCTGAAACGCCCCTTTCACGCTCCTGATTCAACCTCGCTTGCTCCAGGCTGATGAGCTTGTACGGCACGCCCTCATGCGAGCCGACGGAAGGCAGAGATTGCATGGCCGCACCTGGGGATGCAGCGGCAGGCATGCTTTGAGGCCATTGGCCCAACTGCTTGACGGGCGATGCCGAAGGCCCGATATTCGCCGCCGCATCAGTGTGAGCATTCTCGCCCTGCGAGCTAGCCGAGCGCAATGGGGGTGGTGCGACGTCATGACCGAGATGCCAAGGTTTCATGTGATCGACGGCGTTGGGAGAGACGAGCGGTGAATGACTGCTCGAGACGCTTCCATGACTCTGAGCAGAGCGCTCAGCGTCCGGCAGAATTTTGGCCGCCGTCGGCGTCGCTGATCCGGCGCGAAGATCTGGTGTCGAGGCATGGTCGCTCAGGGGCTGTGAGCTGACTGGGTGCACCGACTCGTGGCTCTGGGCACTCCTGCCGTCCGGGTGTGGCACTGGCGACTTAGCGATGCGATTATCGGGAAACACGTAAGCGGGACCAGCGCCGTTTGCTCCTGGGAAGCCCGGTCGAGAAGCAGCGCTGCCAGATCGCGTCATGGCGCCTTCCGCCAAGAATGTGCTGGACCTCTTGTAGGCCAAGCCGCCTGCGCGGGTGGCGCTCCGCGGGGGGCTGGGCACCGCATCTTGCTGACGGTTCATAGAGCCGGGCAAGGGCGATCGCGGCGAAACGACGGGTGACCGGCTGGGCACAAATTGCTGGTCCTTCATGCGAGTAGAGCGAGAAGCGCTCAAGAGGTCGACGAGATCCAAGGACTTGCCCGCGGTTGCTGGACTGAAGCCCGGACTTGTGGCGGCAGTGTTGTGTTCGCTAGAGGGTCCGCTAGTGTAGCTCGTGGAATTGCTAGCGGCTCCATTGCTCTCGGTACTGCTGCTCTGACGACCTTGCTGTGGTACCGGAGGGGCGACAGCAGCCGGCTGAGAGGAGCTCATGGGAGAGACACAAGTCGAAGTTGCAGGCGCGCTCGATGGCGCTAGGGACACTGCGGGCGGCACCGGCGTTGGGGGCAGCATGGAGTCCGC